TCTCTTTTTGTCTACATGTAGGACTGATGATGTTTTAGGTCATATATATTAAGAAACAGAAACTTTTCAAGTGTTCACAAACTTTCAAGCACCACTGTAGCTAAAGATTATTAACTTCCACTCTAATTAGCTAATTTACTAATGGAAAAAGGGTAAAATATAGCCAATGTCATAAAAATAGCTGTAAAGCGTCACACTAAAATGATCTTAAATTCACAATAATTGACATGACTCAGTTCATGTGAAATGTTATGGGGTGAGGGCTAAGATTTTTAGCATTAATAACATGCAGTGTTAGCATTGTACCACATATTCCTCATATGTTCAAATTATTCCCCCGGTGGGGTTGTGACTTGCTCTGCTAAACACTTTCCTTATTAATTTCATTGTAGTTACTGAAATTTCACAATAATATCTGTTTTAATGTGAATAAATGAATAACAAGCTAACTCTTAAGGGGTTAAACTGACATAAATGCATTATTATACTGAAAAGAATTTCTTTTCTTTTTTTTTTTATGTTTTCTGCCCCTTTAAGTAAGTGCTCCCCACAAAGATCTAATCAAAGTGAAAGCCCCAGACAAAGCAGCAATTCTTTGTACACTAAACCTCAGCCTTCTTTGTGGGGGAAAGCAGGGGCATTTATTGCCAACAATCTATACACACACCTTCATTCCCCTCCATATTCCTCACATCCTATTTTCATATGCACACATATATACACGCATGCACACAAACACACTCTCAAAGCTTTAAATATTGCCATCAACAATACCATCAGACTAATGAAGTATAATGTGTCAAAGGGATTAGCTTTGAGCATCTAGTGCAGAGACCTCCATTTGAGCTGGAGGGCTTTTATCAGTGTACTGATTCAGTAGCCCCATATTCTTATCAACTTGTCGAACATCAAATTTAGCACTCTTTTCAGCATGAAGTTCAATTAGAATATCATCACTGCATACATCTGAAGCACTGGGTTTTAGATAGTCAAGTATAGAAGGAAATGACAGGGCTTTGATATCGTACTCTGACCCCATCCCCATCTCATTTCGTTTAAGACATCGCAGTTTAATATTCTCAGCAACAAGAACATGCAAATTGGCTGGAAGGTTGCAACAGTGCTGCCATGGCATGATATTATAAAGCTTTTATGTACTGACTTAAAAAAAAAAAAAAGGTCTAGGCAGAGATATTAACATGAAGATGACACTGTTACATTGCAAATTGTTACAAGAATTCTTAACTTGGCCTTGCTTGTTTTACTCGGGGCATTTCTAGAACATAAAGTGAACCATCATCATCAACCGCCAAAGTTCAAATCCAATACTCAAGAATTGCAAGTACCGAGGATGTATGAACTTATTGTGATGTGTTCTTGATATTGAGTATGCATCGGATACAGACCAGCGTACCGAACTGACTTGAATTCCTAGAAGTCACTGCGGCAAAACAATGGCGAATGAATACTTCGGTAACTGTAAATTTTAACATCTTTTTAAACACTAATCTAAATATGCATCTAAAAGGAATGATTTTGATATATGATTTAGATTGACATATGTATGAGGTTGTTGAAAAGTCAAATTTATCCCTCAAAACTATATTAATTAAATTAAGCTATCTTACAACCTGACGATACACTTAGCTTAGCTTTTAATCAACATGAGGTCACAGTTGAAAACAATGAACTTACTACATTAAAACATTCTTAATTAACTTTTGCTTAATCAGCCATCCATCCATTTTCTGTACCACTTATCCTACAAAGGGCCATGGAGCCTATCCCATGGGATTCAGGGCACGTGAGGAATTGGCCAAGGTTCCTCAGGAACACTGCCAGAAGCTATGAATCTCGTTTGCAGCAGGTCAGAACAGCAAAAGGGTTCTCTACTAAGTACTAAAGATGCTTGCCATGAAGGGGTTGAATAATTTTGAAACTGGAGAAATAATTATAAGTTGCATTTTCAGTTGAATTTGGGGAAACCACTTGAAGCATTCATTGTGTTGAACTATTTCAATTGCTTTTATTTGATTTGTTTACATTTACATTTATTCGTTTAGCAGAGGCTTTTATCCAAAGCAACTTACAAATGAGAAAATACAAGCAAAGCGATATATCATGTGGAGAACAATACAAGTAGTGCTACTATACAAGATCCGTTAATTGAGTTCCAGAAGAAGCAAAGTGCACAGAGTAGACATGTAATGAGTAATGTTTTTTTTTTATTCGTTTGTTTATGGGTTGGTTAGGTGTTCATGGAAGAGGTGGGTCTTTACCTTTGGTGAGAGATTCTGTGGTTGGAAGTTCATTCCACCACTGAGGAACAGTTAGTTTGAATGTTCTTGAAAGGGACCTTGAGCCACGCTGAGTAGGTAAGAGATTTGTTCATTGCAAACAGCTGAAAGTCTGTAAATTTTGACAATGACCCTGATTTGCAATGGGGGTTGAATCATTTTGAATGCAACTGTATGTCCTCCTGTCCTTCTGAGTTCGTCACTTTCTCATTCACTTTCATTAGCTATGGCACAAATAGTCAGAGAGGACCAGTAAGTCTTTTAGACTCTGATTACTAGAAACCTGTTGAATAGCAGCTTACTCTAGCTAAATAAAAACTCAGAGGAAACACTGTAGTGGCGTTTAAAAGAGTGACAGCATGATATCTATAGGCTGTCTACATTCACAGTTTGATCCTGTAACATTTCCCAGCCATTCAGTATTGTCTGAAAGCTGTTCTTCTATAGCTCAAGATCCCAGAAAGAGCAGCTTGAGACTCCAAAGCTTCTAATGGTTTATGAAGGTAGAATTTAACTTTCTTACATAAGCAATACTGCAAGGGTTTGAGCATATCCGCATATTTCCCAAGTACAGTTATTAGCATAAAAAAAAAAAAAAACATCTGATGAACAGTATTTTTATTAGCAGCAGGCGCAAATATGCAGATTACGTTCAAGACCTTGCAGTATTGCTTATCTAAGTAAGGTAATTTCCAACTTCCATGTAGCAGGAGGTATCAGAGCCTTGCAGTAGCCGAGCTGAGCCTTTCAGCAGTCGCTTGTGCGCAGACATTGAGGGCATTGCAGGGCAGAACAGACACACACACACAGCAAAGTTTAACCTCTCCCACTCAAAGTCAAGCTATTATTCGGCAGCACGAAGAGACTTATCTCCTACCATCCGAGAGTACAATGCAAAGGCGCTTTGGTCCAGAGTCTATTGTAAGCTCTTCGTTCTTCTTTCTCAAAAGAGAAAGCTATTGTATCTCAGTGAGCTACAGGCACAGAGGTGGCAGCAATGTGCAAGAATGGGTTTGTGACAGTGTGGTGCTGCAGTGATGAAAAAGAAACACACACACACACAGAGAGAGAGAGAGAGAGAGAGAGAGGAGAAAGTTCAGATATTGTATATGAATAAATGCTTGTATATGAATAAATGCTTGTATGTGTGTGTGAGTATGTGTCTAGATACACACTTCATGTATCTCAACCTTCAAATGAACAAGCATTGCTTATGGGTGGTCTAATTCAACTAATAAGCTACTCTGTTAATAGTTCATTAAAGCGATTTAAGACCCAGAGTTCAAGTTGAGAACTACAGCTAGGAGAAGGCTTTCGCTAGCAACCACAGCCCAAAATAGAAGCCTTGAGGATGGATAAAGGATGCTATGGCTGGGTAGCTTGTGCTTAGAGCAACCTTGATACTTGAGCATCTCTGACATATTCATGAACAAGTGTGAGGGGGGGATGGGGGCAGCGTTCTACCATGTGGCACACCAGCACTATAAACAAATGGGGCAAGAAAAGTTATGAAGGCTGAGGAAGCGAGCAGCTCCAATCTTCACAAAGATGAAGTTAATGGAAGGAAATAATATCGCATATCACCTGGTGTAGACCCCCAGGTGCTCTCTTACACTAAATTATCTCTAAACAGATTGCATGCCGTGATTTCAGTGAAAACCAAAGGCTACATGATCCAGAAGTCTGAGTTCAAATGCAAGAACCTATTGTATTCCATTCTTTGTATAAAAAAAAAAAAAGCTACACCTTTACCACTGCAGAAGTCACGATTTAAATTTGAAAGCAATCATTTTTTTGGTCAATATATAGCCTATATCAGTCTTATTCAAAGGGCGGACCGTGGTCCATGTCTGGACCCAGCAAAATGCCAAGACAGACCAAAAAGCATTAAATAATATCAAAGTCAATAAAATAATTTCTGACAGTTTTCGAACATGATCAATCCAGATCAGTGCTCTGCTCTCGCCCTCTATCAGTGAAGAAAGCGTGTCCGATACAATCATGTGAGTTTATGCAAAGGAATATCGTGACGAGTTCTGCGTCCTATCTAACCGCATGCGTTCACGCAAATTGTTCTCGTGAAGAGTTCCTCGTCTCATCCAATAGCAACTATTTTCGCACGTGAAAGACAATGTTGCAACTGTGAGCAAGTAGCACACAGACACACAGAAACAGAACGCCCATCAATATCAGACAGATATGGGCTGTACATAGAAAAGATTATAGCAAAAATCGCATTTTCAAAGATGAGTGGACAGAAAATTACGCATTCATTCTCAAGTTCAAAACCAATGTGCCTTATATGCTCCGAGTCCGTAATGCTCGTGAAAACTGCCAACGTAAAGCGCCACTACGACATGCAACACAGTCATTTCGAGCAATGTATCCTCAAAACACAGAGCTGACAACGAGAAAAATAAATCAGTAAGACAAATAGTAATAGTCTACTGACTACAAATACAGCCTGTACAATGCACAATTTCAGTCAAAATAAAGAAGTTTGTAGTTCATTTAAATGTGTCTGAATATAATGATAATGAGTCTTTTATTAATCACATATACATTACAGCACAGTGAAATTCTTGTCTTCACATACCCCAGCACATCAGGAAGCTGGGGTCAGACCGCAGGGTCAGCCATGATACAGAGACCCTGGAGCAGAGAGGGTTAAGGGCCTTGCTCAAGGGCTCAACAGTGGCAGCTTGTCAGCGCTGGGACTTGAACCCCCAACCATCTGATCAGTAACTCAGAGCCTTAACCACCAAGCCACCACTGACCCCAACATATATATTTAATAAATGTAATAATAGTCCTGAAAACACCTGATCTCAAATCATAGAATGGACAAGTATGTTTGTTACTATGCTGTATTAGAGTACAAATAAATGACAAGATCTAATATCTATCTGGACCTTTCCCACTGGGAAACCATCCCTGGACTATACTATATACAATCCTAATATACAGACGTTACACACCTGTATTACAGTATCTCACAAAAGTGAGTACGCCCCTCACATTTTTGTAAATATTTGATTATATATTTTCATGTGACAACACTGAAGAAATGACACTTTGCTACAATGTAAAGTAGTGAGTGTACAGCTTGTATAACAGTGTAAATTTGCTGTCTCTTCAAAATAACTCAACACACAGCCATTAATGTCTAAACCGCTGGCAACAAAAGTGAGTACACCCTTAAGTGAAATTGTCCAAATTGGGCCTAAAGTGTCAATATTTTGTGTGGCCACCATTATTTTCCAGCACTACCTTAACCCTCTTGGGCATGGAGTTCACCAGAGCTTCACAGGTTGCCACTGGAGTCCTCTTCCACTCCTCCATGACGACATCACGGAGCTGGTGGATGTTAGAGTCCTTGTGCTCCTCTACCTTCCATTTGGGGATGCCCCACAAATGCTCAATAGGGCTTAGTCCATCACCTTCACCCTCAGCTTCTTTAGCAAGGCTGTGGTCGTCTAGGAGGTGTGTTTGCGGTCGTTATCATGCTGGAATGCCCTGCAGCCCAGTCGCCGAATTGAGGGGGATCATGCTCTGCTTCAGTATGTCACAGTACATGTTTGCATTCATGGTTCCCTCAATGAACTGTAGCTCCCCAGTGCCGGCAGCACTCATGCAGACCCAGACCATGACACTCCCACCACCATGCTTGACTGTAGGCAAGACACACTTGTCTTAGTACTCCTTACCTGGTTGCAGCCAAACACGCTTGACACCATCTAAACCAATAAGTTTATCTTGGTTCCAGTAATCCATGTCCTTAGTCTGCTTGTCTTCAGCAAACTGTTTGCCGACTTTCTTGTGCATCATCTTTAGAAGAGGCTTACTTCTGGGATGACAGCCACGCAGACCAATTTGATGCAGTGTGCGGCGTATGGTCTGAGCATTGACAGGCTGAACCCCCACCCCTTCAACCTCTGCAGCAATGCTGGCACCACTCATACGTCTATTCATTGAGGGAACAATGAATGCCAACATGTACTGACATACTGAAGCAGAGCATGATCGGTATGCAGTATTCCAGCATGATAACGACCCCAAACACACCTTCAAGATGACCACTGCTTTGCTAAAGAAGCTGAGGGTGAAGGTGATGGACTGGCCAAGCATGTCTCCAGACCTAAACCCTATTGAGCATCTGTGGGGCATCCTCAAACGGAAGGTGGAGAAGCACATGGTCTCTAACCTCCAAGAGCTCCGTGATGTCATCATGGAAGAGTGGAACAGGACTCCAGTGGCAACCTGTGAAGCTCTGGTGAACTCCATGCCCAAGAGGGTTGCCAGCGGTTTAGACATTAATGGCTGTGTGTTGAGTTATTTTGAGGGGAAGCAAATTTACACTGTCACACAAGTTATACACTCACTACTTTACATTGTAGCAAAGTGTCATTTCTTCAGTGTTGTCACATGAAAAGATAAAATCAAATATTTACAAAAATGTGAGGGGTGTACTCACTTTTGTGAGATGATAGATGGATGGATGGATGTACACTGATCAGCCATAACATAATAACCACTTGCCTAATATTGTATAGGTCCTCCTTGTGACACCAAAACAGCTCTGATCCGTTGAGGCATGTACTGCAAAAGACCTCTGGAGGTGTGCTGTGGTATCTGGGCTCAAGATATTAGCAGGGGATCACTTTTGGTAGGTACTAAGCACTATATACCGTGAAAATCTCACAAGACCTGACGTTTTGGAGAAGTTCTGACCCAGTCATCTAGACATCACAATTTGGCTCTTGTCAAAGTCGCTCAGATCCTTAAACTCACCCATTTTTCTTGCTTCTAACACATGAACTTCAAGAACTGACTGTTCACTTGCTGCCTAATATATCCCACACCTTGACAGGTGCCACTGTAACAAGATAATCAATGTTATTCACTTCACCTGTCAGTGTATATATAGATATAAATATAGATAGCTAGGGGGCAAGGTGGCTTAGTGGCTAGCAAGCTTGCCTACAGGGTTGAGGATTCGATTCCCACTGCTGCTCTGTGTGCTCTGTGCGAGTTTTCCCCTTGCTTCAGGGGTTTCTTCCCCCATCCATGACATGCGCTGTAGGCTTATTTGTATGTATACATTGTTTGTAGTGTGTGAGTGTGTGTGAGATTATGCCCTGAATAGGCTGTCCAGGGTGTACCTACTTTTTCCACAGAAGAATGTCACATCTAATTATATTTCTGTTGAATGAATGATTAAAAAAGCTAATTTTTATGGTTTCGTTCAAAAATATAAATTTTATTAATAGGCAAAGAGGATCAAATGTTTGCTTCTCCAAATATGTCAAGCCATCAATCTACATGGGGTGTACTTACTTTTTTCATATGACATTTTATATATATATATATATATATATATATATATATATATATATATATATCATACGCACACCACACACACACCAATATACTATGTATATACATACACACAAACTGTACGAACCAGGCAGCCCAGCGTTTATAACATGCTATAGTTTTCAAATAAATGGCCAAAACAAGTGACCTTGGAATGTAGAATCATAGTTGGTGCTAACCGTGCGAGATTTAACTGCCTAACAGCGCTAAGTGTGCCAGATCTAGCTGCCTGGTTTTTCACGCACAGTTGTTTCAAGTGTTTACAGAGTATGCGAGAAGTGATACAGCGTGTAGAGAATTGTACAAGCAGACATGCCAGAATCACAAATTATATCCTGATTCAATACTCAGGTACCGAATGGGTTGACCATGAAGATGAAGACTATGTCAGGTGAAGAACAAGGACACGGGTAAAATTCACCTGGGTCAACAAATCCAGATTCGCTCTGTGTCATGCCGATATGGATGGATCACAATTTGGAGCAAGCAACATGGTCCGTAGAGTCATGCTGTTGAGTCTGAACAGTACAGATCTGTGTTTACAGTGTGAGGGCTTGGGGAATGTTTTCCTTAAACTTTGAATGTCTCAGGATGTACGAACAAGTTCATCTTTATGGCTACAATTTATTCCCATTTGTTTGTCACAAGGCATCACCGAGTATCACAAACGGTTCATTGCTTATTGTGGCCTGCGTAGTCTCAGGATCCAAACATTTATGGCATGAGGTAGAAAGGACTGTATAACCATGCCAATAACTGCAATGCCAGGCTTTTCTATGTGATACGACTTTCCTGCACAGCACTCCAAGTTCGTTCCTGATAAACTCAAGTTCTGAAAACATAAGGAATGTTATCAATACTGCTTCAAATTTAAAAAAAAGAAAAAAGCAATATTGAATAGGAAAATAGTTGTTTTTATGTACACTTGCCTGAGAAATACAATTCCCTCACAGCTGGTGGAATTAAAACAGTTCTTATGAGCGGACCAAGACCATCTATTCTCAAACCTAATGCAGAACCAGAAGCAGGCTTGAACACTGAAACACAGATTTTTGAGTCAATATTTCATTAGCTATATCGATAAATGCAGGCCTGACTGGCGAATGCTAAAATATTCAGTCTGTATCACAAGCTCTTGATCTAAATGAATGTTGTAATCCACACGTGCACACACATATACACAAACACATCCAACACCAGCTGCCATCTTCACACACTAAAACACTACACGCACAGACTGCGGTCGCAGTCAGCAACATATGAGTAATGATACAAAACACACAGCGCAAATGAAAAAACCGCTGACTGTCTGTAATTAAGGGTAATTATGTACCTTGCCTTAATTAGGCTGAGTAATAGGGCCATGTTCTTGCCAAGTAAAACAGGCTTTCAAAGCGCAAACAAAGGCAGCAGCTAAGTGGCAGGTAGGACCGAGGAAGGGCCTGCACTCGGAAAGCAGCTCCACAATCAGCATTGCATCCAGCAAAATAGCAACAAAAGGAGCACAAGCCACACATCATCTGCCCATGCTGCTTCTCCCACTTAGATTACCAAGCAAGGAATACATTTTACCCCTCTTTAACCCGCGCTAAACTTTGTGATTGCTGGATCCAACGTGGCTTTAGTTGAACCAGGCCGTCAATGAATAAGTACATATAGAGCAGTGTGAGTGTGTGTTTAAGTAAAGTAATGAGAGCTCCATCTCCTCCAGAGAGAGCATCATCTCACTAACCCTGGTGAGCAGTAGACGTCTATGCACGGTGATGGACAGAAGCCATTGTATGATGTGGGGGGTGGGGAGTGGGGTTTATAGGCTGGTATCTCCAGGCGACGAGTTGCCGTGGCACTCTTGTCGCCGTGACACCAATGGACTGAAATGAAGAGAGCTCATCCCTCCCACTCAATTACTGACCCTGACAGCTTGCCATTGTCTGCGCGGCTCTATCATTAACGTCACTTATGAACTAGCACGGCATTTATAGAACAACCGGCTTAGCCAGCCACTCTCCACCACCCTCACACACACACACTCTTACTTTCAATCCCTCCCCACCCCCACCCCCCATACACACACACACACACACACACACACACACACACACACACTACTTTCTCTCCCATAAACACATCCTCATGCAATATCCACACATACACTTACTTTCAGCTCTTCAAGCACACACACCCAAATGCGCACCCATATGCACATAATCATTCTTAATCTATGCCACAAACACTGCACAAATATATAAACGCAAACCTACACTGACAAGAAGTCAGTTATAAATCCAAAACGGGCATATGACAAACTATAATGCAGTGGCATGTGCTATTGCAGGTTTAATATCGCACAAAGGCAGGGCAAGATGCAGATAAACAGAGGCATTTCTGCCTGAAAGAGACA